TATCACAAGCATTCTGTGCACCAGGCGTTAAGGCTCAGTAGTGGAGACATGATGGTCTTCCAGAGAGGCATATTCCAGCCCTCAAGGATGGTATCTATCAAGAGACGCACACTTCAGACAACATATGATTCACTACACTTTAATAGTAACAACTGCAAAAGACAAGTTGCTCTGGCAGCACTGAGCTAGGTAAGTGACCTAGTCTTTTGAGCAGGAATAGTACCATGTGCAAGTAATACTTAGCTCGAGGGCAAAGAAAGGTCAGGAATTAGCCACAAGGGCAGGAGTTAGAGACTACTGACAGGGGATACTGCATGTCCTATAGACCTGAAGCAGGTAGCAGTTCATATTTACAAAACAGTCACAGGCAGCCAAAGGGAGGGGGAGGGTATGAAAAGGAGCAGAAGAGAAAATATCTTGGGTAGTAAGAGGCTGGAGAAGAAATAGGGACCAGGTTACACATAGATCCAACTGGACGGATATTACAGATATAACGGACAATGAGCAAGTAAGGACTGGAGTGAGGGTAACAGAGATGAGAACACATTCAGGCCAGGATTTATCTCAGTGGCACTGCACCTGCCTCGCAAGTACAAGGTCCTGAGTTCAATTCCTGGTACCAAACATCTGAATGAGGATGATGCTCAGTATTCTGATAGCAAAGTTAGAAAAAGAAGCCAAATTGTGGGGAAGATAAATTGTGGATGTTGTATGTGAGGGGCCTTTTGAGACAGCCCATTTGAGATTATGAGGAGGAAATTGGTTGAGTCAGGAGCTCACGAGAGAGATCCTGTCTGGTGGTGCAAACACCAATGTCGTTGGAGTCAAGATAGTCATTGAAGCCACAGTTTATGTTACACAGAGCTTATGGCCACTTATTTCACATTTCAAGAATTCAGAGAAAAAGAACGGATGTGTATGTAAGAAATTCTTTAAAACACAAATCCATGTACTCAACACATGCGATGATCCAGCCAGAGATGAACTGGCATCATATACCATTCCAAGGAGTTAAATAATAAAAATACAAAAACAATCTTACCTGGGGATTCTAGGACATGGTTCCCACTGACCGTACCATGTCATGATTTTAGCAATAATTTACCATGAAAGATTGATAGAATTTGCAAATGCTACCTACAAAACAATTCAATGGAAAGGGTACTTTTAAGTCCATGTGTATATGATTGGTTTAAGAGAATCTTAAGCTATTAAACTAATTCAGTAGGAAATTTAAAAATATAATGATAATAATTCCTTTTTTTTATAATTCCTATAAACACTGAACAAGTATACAAAATGTTAACACCAGTCTCAGGCTATCAGTGATGTTTTCCTGTAGTGCATTGGAAAGGAGAGAGATTTGTGTTGGCATCTGAATCCTGCTCCCTAAAAGAAGAATTTCAAAGTGTGAATCAGCTAGTTATATGCCAAAACCTAGTTAATTGTAGTATCATTTTCCTGCCATTTTCTCCATACTTCTTAGAAGATAACTTTGATCCTGGCTTTGTGTCTGCCATTATATCTGTGGACACTGTTCTCACAGACTAGGGTTTTTTTGTTGTTGTTTTTTGTTTTTGTTTTGTTGTTTTTTTGTACTGGGGATCAAATTTGGGTCCTTGTACTTGGGGAGGCAGGCAGCAGCACCACTGAGCTAAATCCCCAGCCCCGACTAGGGTTTTATACTGTTACTGGGCCCTGGTCTGTCTGCTCACCATTTGGAAGCCGATACTCCGGAGAAGAGCTGATAGGAAAGAAGTCAGTTTTATTCAAGGGCTGTACTCTGAGAAGCTGAGGGAAAGCTATTGCCTCAGGACCTTATCTTAGAGAATTGAGGATCACAAAGGATTTTTATAGGGAAAGAAAGAAGGAGCCACAGATAATAGGCAGGAAGGCCCTGTGGTGAGCAGGGTCTTCATCATTTAGGGCATATACCCCCTTTTCTAGCCAGCACATCACACTGGACCGCAGTCTCCTGGGCTAGTTTCTGTATTCTTTAGGCAAACATACTACTTTTCTGCAAGTTAAACCTCGCAGCAGTTTAGATACTTTGTGTTAGTAGGTGCACAAACCTAAAGAACCAAGGGGGGCTTTACACGTTCTGCTGTAACTCGAAGGTCACCAGATATTCTGCATTGTAGAAATCTTAAATAAAAGATTATCAGTTAATATCGTAATCATTGAGACATGGCTTCTCTTTGGAATTTAGAATGCCAGCCAAAGGGAGAGAAGAAGATAACCTTGCAAAAGACAATTTGCAAAGGAATGGCCACTGTTAAACAACCTGTGTGACGTTTAAAGACCCATAGCTGTGTACCCTTGGGGGGTAGGAAACCAAGACAAGGGGAAACAGAGGTAATAAAAAGAGTGGGAGAATGGACATCCATTAGTTCTTTTCAGTCAGAACCTCGGGTTAATTATTAATAGCAAATCATTGTTTGAATTTAACCATTTATTTCCTTTGAAAAGGAAAATATGAGTTACCTTTAAAGAAACTTACTTTTATCAAAAGTGCCCGCCATTTTAGGAGGAAAGAAGTAGGAAAAGTTGGACAAAGGCATTATTTTTTTGTTCCACCAAATACATTGTTGAAAATACATTGGTTGGTACAAAAATGTTGCTTTTCTTAGAAGTAAGAAGACTAATGGAAAATAAATTTATTTAAGTAGGCGCTTATTATGTCAGAGTACATATCTACAAATAGTTTCCTAACAAAGAAATTATTATCAATTATTAAATTATCAAGTGTTTATTACATTATATAGTCTTCATTTTAACTTTTTGGGGAAAATTTATATATTATTGTAGATTTTAAAATGAGAAGATAATAAAGCAGACTAGTGTAATGGCTGATCTCTTGGCTTTTTTTCTTTCTTTCTTTCTTTCTTTCTTTTCTTTTCTTTAACTTGAAATTATGAAATCTTCTCTCAGAAAAAAACAAAATAACTTTGTCCAAATTTTGTATCGTTTACTCTCAGGAATTCACATACCTTCACCAATGTTGCCTAAGTCAAAGAAAGAAAAAAGGCTTTTTGTATTTGTCATTTTGTTTTCAAGATTTGTCTACCCAGCAGAGAAAAATGTCTCGTGTTCTTCAGAGTTGATCAGAGATTTCCAAGCTGTTTGGCTTGAGAGATGGATTAAATAGGGATTAATTTAATATACATTTAATTCTCTGGGGTAAGAACTCCCGCTAAGAACCAAGACCTGTCATGTAGAGGTACAAGATCCTAACTGTACTATATCCCTAAAATGTACCAATAAACTCAATTAAAGCTGAAAAAAAAAAAAGAACTCCCGCTAAGGTCTGGTCCAGGGCAAAGTCTGCTCTCAACACTGAAGCAAATCTGTCACCTTAATCCCAGTGGCTCAGAGTCTGCGTGAATGGAATGTTCAAGGACAGGAAGTATAAGAAGAATGCTTTGAAAGAAACATTAAAACAAAACGAACGTTCAGAGAATACCAGGGCTTGCGTGCAGTCCTCAGCACCTAAGGGAAGATGTGAATAATTATGCTTGAAAAATACAGCTAATTAAAAATAACTGCATAAAAGCAGACGAAAACTATGAAACAACTTTTCTACTCCAATATAAGATTCTACATTATGAAATAGGATTTTTTTAAAATTTCATTTCACACTGGCGTAGAAGAGATGGAGAGGAAAATTGCATTGCCAGAAAATGCCAGAGTAAATGTGCTAAAGTTGTTATCGTGTACTGTATTTAAAACAAAGATCTAATTGCTGTAATTTATCATTTGACTGGTTATTAAAACCTTGCTAATTTAAAGGTTTTAATCATTTGCCACTTCTGTGCATAGTGACTTTTCATAGAAAATATGATGAAAATTTATGTTTCGTCAGCCTTTGTATGATTTTTAAAGAGCTCCTAAGCATAATTAACATGCTTTAAAGATATAATGCAGTTACGTAAGCAAAAAATTTTCCTTGTTTTTCTTTTAATCTGTTCGATGAAATATATGGGACTGTTTTATAATTGCTGAGCCTAATGTGTGAGAACACAAGCTACTGAGTTCGTTTTAATTCCCTTTGCACATTTAGCATCATGGAGAGATCCACCCTTCCTGTTGGTTTGGAAACAGGATTCTTTTAATAATTAGAGAAATTCAAAAGACATGATCTTACTGACTTCGGCATGAATTTGCTCCTCGGTTTTGAGAAGTACAGGGATTCATAAGATAGTCATCAAGGAAAGACCTCTCTTTACAAAAACAAACATTAAATTGGTCCCTCTCTGGCTGGTAGGAGAAAGGGGGAGGTAGGAAGGGATCACACACTGCAGAAGAAAAAGCTCCAGGAGCAGTGGTGGCCGTTCCTCTAGGGAGGAACGGTGAAGGGGCGAAAGTAGGAGGAGGGAAGCAGCCAGAACAGAATCTTTTCTGTGTGTGTGTGTGTGTGTGTGTGTGTGTGTGTGTGTGTGTGAGGCCTTGGGGTAATACAGCCATTTCAACATAGCTCACAGGCTGCATCGACTTGTCTCCACCCTGGTGTGATGGGTTTTATGTAACTCGTAAAACCAAAGTTCAGTGTTACATACCAGAGGAGTCATGAGATTAGCATGATGGTCTAATTCCTTGTGTTTTTATTAAAGTGTGGCATTACTTTAAAACAAAAGAAACAATATATAAATCAGTTTCCTAAATCACAAATCAGGAAACCTACTCCAGACCAAAACTGTAATACCATGTAGCCATAGATGCAAGTTCAAGAAGTCAGCCCCATGCCCCTTCATTGAGGTATTAAGGGACTTTGAAGCCCAATTATTTGATAGGAAAATTAAAATTAAACTGATTTGCTTAAGGTCCCAGAGCCAGGCTTAGACCGCACATCTTCTCAGTCCCAGACTGTTCCTTATTCACTTCTTTCATGTCCAGCTCTCTCATCATGCTCCCCTGAAGGAGACTCCCGTGTGCTCCTCCTCGAAGCCCTGCACCCGGTACAGAACGTCTGCCTGACAAATAACCAGGTCTCCTCTCTGCAGGTGCAAAGTTCCCCATTAAATGGACGGCCCCTGAAGCAGCTCTATACGGGAGGTTCACAATCAAGTCTGACGTATGGTCTTTTGGAATCTTACTCACAGAGCTGGTCACCAAAGGAAGAGTGCCATACCCAGGTAAGAGCAGGACCCGCAGAAATGTACCTGGGTTGTCTTTCAACAATCCGACTTCTATAGTTTGCCTTTCTAAGACCCAAGCTCAGCTTTCTGCCAAGCAGGAATTTGAAGAACATGAACAGTTATTTAGCCAGAGAAAAGCAGAGCTGGGCATGCCACCAGAGCATGCCAACAAGCAGCTACCGTGACCCACGTGCCAAGGTACATGCTTCAGTTTCAAGAGAATTTCTTCTGTCTCAGGAGCACTCATCTGTGGCTCCCAGAACAGAAATGGCACTGAACAGAGGTACTGCCTCTGCTAAAATGAAACTTGCAGGCATATCTGGAAAGGGCAGGAGAAAAGCCCCCACTGCTTTTTGATCACACTGTAGTACTGACCCAGGCAGTGAACCTGGCAGGAAACTATCAGGACCTGTTTTCTCTGCAGGCCCCAGCTCCAGATGGCTAGAGAGCCGAGCACAAGGCAGTTAGAGGCCATTTGCCGCCTGTTGCTGACAGTCAAAATACACTACAGAAAAGCAAGAGCAATATGAAGGAACCTCCTTAGGCCATAGAATTTTTCTGGATTATCAGATTTATGTTCTCCAGAGAGACCATGGGTTGAGGTTGTCCATGCTTAAATTCATTAATTTAGGCAGATGGAGACATAAAGGACATTTGTGCCATTTCACCTCCACGCTTTGGTGGTTATAACACAGAGACGATCTGCTTTTTGAAATGTTAAGGACATATTTTTTAGCTACTGCTGAGCAAAGAAAGAACATAGCTCTCCCTCATTCCCTGCTAAAAAGAGAGCTTTAAAAAAACCGCACAGTGATAGAAATGATAGTGGAGATTAATGAGGAATGTAGGTCTCTTGCAGATCCTGGGTTTGTAATCCTATCTTTGCAGTCAGAGGAGCCAGGGAGAGCCGATTAATTTGTAATCCCTTTGTTCATTCTGTGTGGTTGTTTCTGGTCACCTTCAGAGAACACAGGGAGGAGCACAGAAAGAGGACCTCTCCCTGGGTCGGGACAGCCTTGATTGAGCCGCATAGGAGAGCCAGGTTGGCACACAGATGAAACTGACAGAATCCCGTCTCCACAGGGCCAGCACCAGGCATTTGGAGATGTGGGAGGAAGTCAGTTTTATTAATGCCGCGGTGGCTACAGCTCCAGGCTTACACAAGTGGGCAGACTCTTTGAACAGCCAACCAGCACAGAAGAAAGGGCTGCCCTGGGGGGTGCTGGAACACAGCATGGGTGCTTTTGAATTGCTTCTGAGGGGGAGAATGTGCCACTCTCAGGATTTTGAAGATGGGAAGGAACCTCTTTCTTTTTATTATCTGCATTTTGAACTAATTTCTTCCTGGTTTCCCCAGGTTTAAAGTCACCTGGTGTGTTAAATGCAATGAGGGAAAAGGTTAATGTTATTTTGCATTTCTGTGAAACATTTCCTTCCAGTAACACAAAGCAGCTTTTTGTTTCTCGAGGTCACACAGAGAAGCTAAGACAAAGGGGTAGAGGTGTGGGCCTTGGAGAAGGAAGGCAGGTGTGTTTCCAAGGGAGAGGCTTTTGTCAGGTCGGGTCTTAGCGTAGAGAAAATAGCCTCATTTCCCAACTTAGATTAGGATTCATTCATTCAGCCTCTCTTCAGTCAGCTTGAACTGCGCCAGGTATTTGTTCTGCCTGGGAGATGGTACAGCTAAGACATTCTCAGTCTCGCAGGGCGCTGTTCTATGGGCTTGAGAGAAAACGAGTGAACAGACAAATGTAGCCCTTGCACTCTTGAAGCTTACAGCCAAGCAGCACATGTGTCAGCTCCAGGGAGAAATGCGCCTTTCTTGTGACTTTGTAGTAGAGGAAACGCCTAAAGGTGGATCACTTGAGTTTAACCACTGCATGCCCCGAACTCATTCTCCTAATGAGGCCGGGAGTCCCTGCTTCAGGTGCCTGTAGACAACATGAACCTTGAAGGGCTTCCACTGAGAATCCCAGGAAAGGCAAAGAAGTTTAAAGGCAGACCGAGCCCAGTGCATTGCACAGTTACATCCTATGAACAACTGCTGGTGTGCCCTGGGCGTGGGCGACTGCCCCTAGATGCAGAGTGGCGGTGGAGATGGAGCTTTGCGGAGAAGGCAAGTGAGCCAGACCTAGGAAGGCAAGTAGAGAGGAAATCCCAGGGCAGCCTGGCACCGGGGAGGCACCAGCTTCTAGAAGGACAGAGCCAGTTCCAGGAACCACAGAGGAGTCAGAGGGAGAAGGCAAATGAGATGAAGCTTAGAGATATACCTGGAAAGGTGAACAAGAACTGGTTTTTGTGTGTGTGTGTGTGTGTGTGTGTGTGTGTGTGTGGTTTTGGGGTTTTTGTTTTTGTTTTTTTGATTTTGGGGTTTTTTTTTAAGACAGGGTCTCACTATGTAGTTGAGACTAACTGGAACTCACTATGTAGTCTAGGCTGGCCTCAAACTCACAGCGATCCTACTGCCTCAGCCTCCTGAGTGCTGAGATTACAGGTATGCGCCACCAAGCCCAGCTAGAACTGTTTTTTCGTTTTTTGGGAATTTTTTTTAGGACCCTGGTGCACTGCCCCAGGGAATCATTGGGCCCCAACTGGTTGGCATTGGCCAAGAAATTGTGTCAGGGAAGATGAGTAACTGTTTCTGTTACGCTAGCTTCGGTTGCTTGCCCATGGCAAGCTGTCACCCGGCTGGGCAGTGACCTCCTAATGGGATTTCCTGCCTCCAGTCCCTCCCCACCTCCATTTTGCTTTGCTCTGTTTTTGTGGTACTGTGGATTGAACACAGGGTGTTTGCACTGAGCTATATCCCAGCCCTATTTTTTTATTTTTTTATTTTTTTCATTGTGAGACAGAGTCTTGCTAACTTGCCCAGGCTGAGCTCAAACCTGCCATCCTACTGCCTCAGCCTCCAAAATAGCTGGGATTACAGGCATTCACCACCACACCACACACCCAGCTTGGTTTTGTTTTTTTGTTGTTGTTGTTGTTTTTTTAACTTAACTGTAATCATATGTAATTGGACTTCTGACTGTGACAGAAAACTTTTCTTAAGGGAGAAGCTTCTGTGGAGGGATTGCAATTATTGCATTATTACCTTAATGGAGGGTAGCTGTTCCAAGGGACAGATAGGTTCATTAAGCTTTATCCAGATGTCCCTGTAAAGAAAAGACTTCTTCCTCCACATCCTTGCTGGGTGGCGTAGCCAGGTGTGTGCTGAGGAGTCTTGGTGCCTGCTGCACTACCCTAGGACAGACCCCAGTCCCTGCCCACTTCCCTCCATTCTACATTTCAATATAGCAGTTTCTCAGATGGCTGCAGTATGCGTTCAAGTAATTCTTTTTTCAAGAATGTTAAGTGGTGGTATATTTTTCTGAGTTTTTCTCCCTGAGAATGGCCCTCTGTCACCCCGTCACATAGAAAAGGACTTTGGCTGGTGGTAAGAATGAAGGTGAGGGAGGGCAGCCACTTCTAACTTGCTTTTGCAAAAGCTTCCTGGGCATTCTTGCCTGGCATGAACATCAGAAATGATGAACATCTGGAAGTGAGCATCAGAGGCAGACTGTAGTGTGGAGAGCGCGCGGTGTGACCAAATGAAGGGCACACAGGTCAACAGTCAGTGTGACACTGGCTTGGTGGGTTAGTTAGCACGTTTTCTGAAAGGAATGGATAAAAAGGAAGGAAAGAACAATGTGAAACTGAACAAGAGCCTTGAAACAAAAGAAGAAATACTGAAGTGTGACACTGCGATGACCAGAGAGGTCGCAGTGGGGTCACTGGACCTTCGCGGAGGAGCACTGCTCCCAAGCCCTGTGGCAGTGATGGACGCCCATCCAAAGAACAGCTCCGATTATCCCCTCCCTGCAGCAGCCTGGCCTGAATACGATTCTCAGCATTGCGGCCTAGCTAGCTTTTCTGTGCACCAGGGGTTTGAACCATTTTCTGTATGAAAATCAGATCGGATTGCATACTAATAGACTGTCATGTATGAGAAATGAAAGCATTCAAGTAAAAGCAGTTTTCCTGGAGTCAGTGCAGAAAGTCAGAGTAACACAGTTTAACCTATCATTTCATCTTCACTAGCACTGCCCACGGCAAGCTGTCACCTGACTGGGCAGTGACCTCCTAATGGGGTTTCCTGCCTCTAGTCCCTCCCCACCTCCCTTCCACCACCACCTTGCTTTTGTCACCAGCAGAGTCGTTACCCTGGAGAACACGAACCAGTCACCTCACACTCCTAGGTTAAAGTGCTCAGGGCTTCCGTTTACCCCTCAGATAAACTTCAGAAGCCTTCTTTTTGGTATGTCCTTCCTAAGTGTTTAACTTCAATCATCCTACAAATATTTATTGAACAACTATCATATCCCAAGTGCTGTCTCAGGCACCAGGAATATAGTAGTGAACACTTTTTCTTGGAGACAGACAATAAGCAAAGACAAATAAGCAAAATATATCGGATGTTGGATGGTAGTAATGGATGGGGAGAAAATAAAATGAGGAAGTGGGGAGAGAGTACCAGGAAAGGAAGTCTCTACTATGTGTGCACATTTCCCAGTAGCTCTGCCATCTGTGAGGGGGAAGACTTTATGTATTCCCAATGCCTACCATAGTGTCTGCCTCATAGCAGACTCTGTAAGCGGATGGATGGATGGATGGATGGATAGATGGATGGACAGATGAGGGAGGGAAGAAGGAGAATGGGAATGAATGCATCTATGAAGCTTTTGAAATAAGAGCTTTAAATTTGGACCATAGCTTGGAAAGCTTTTAAATTCTGGTCCATCATCTGCACACATACACTGAATATATATTTTCCAAGCTATGAGGTAGCCTCTGTCCTCAAAGTTGTTCTGAGAAATTGATACCATGTTCCAGCACCATTCTAGGGAGTATCCTGGCCACTCTGCACCCTGGCCCTTAACAGAGCACCTGCCCTTGTGTGTCTGGCAGGATCTGGAGGAGCAGAAATGTTCTCTGAAGCAAATCACATTCATTCGTGCATT